TAAAAGGGGTTACCTTGGAAATCTCTTACAAAGTTTACACGACCTTCAAAGGGGCCTTTGCAGCAGCTTTTACCTAACTCTGTTTAAGCTATAATTCCAGCACTGTGGTAACCAGGATTTTTTTTTTTCCCTGTTTTTCTTGGTACTGAAGTTAGTTAGGCACTATCCTCGGGCAGTTGCATCATTTTTTTTTCAGATGAATACGGATCAAGATGATGCATCAATGTGTTGTGAGCTAGTATTCTAACACTGTTTTGTTATGTGATATGGTATTTAAACTTACTGCTAGAAATGTATTTTTTAATATTTCAAAAAATTGAGATAATGGCATATCAGACTTCCTCTGAGATGTTGTGAAAGTTGGATTAGGTAACTATGTGATTCTGAATATTTCTCCTATGTGCATACTTGTAAGAGGTAATAATAAATATCCTGTCTCACCTGAAATATATGCTTTTAAATGAAAGTGTAACATACAGTCCTGAAGAAGAAACTGCTAGAAACGCTTCCACACTTATGTGCTTTTGTCACTCATGAACCTTCCTTTGCCATGCAAGCAAGTTTCCAGGACTTCACCATTCAGAGCAAGTGGATTCCTGCAGTGTTTATAAAAGCATGCGTCTTGAAGATTGAGTTGGGAATCAGTCACCCCAAACCTCTCACAAAGTGGTATTGTTAATGTGTCAGGTTTTAATCAAGAGCAGTAATAAGCTGCATGCATTAATTCTTTGTATGTGTTTATGCTGATTGTTTTTGAACATGTGGGTATGAAATATTAGGCCCAGTATATTGAAATACTTCACATTGAGACTTATGCTTTGCATTCCTATTTTGGTAAGAACGTTTTGCCCTTCGTTAGCTTAACAGATTTGTTAAGAGTTTAGTTAAATCAAGGAACATTTCCAAAGGCAGAGAAACTCTCCACTGAGGGGGAAGGAATGAGATGGAGTGGGAAAAGCAGGAGAAAAATTGGGAAGAGGAATGCTGAATCTATTTTCAAAGTGAAAGTGAAATCTTTCTTTGAGGGGAGAGAGAAATGTAAGTAAGAGCTGAAGAAGTGTCTCCTGTAAGTCACTTGTCCCTTCTGCTCCTGCTCAACCAGTACTGTTGTCTCAGAACTACACTTGCACTCATCTTGCATCACTGAGGTCCGCAGCGTTCACTAGCTCACAACAGTTATCCTTATAAAAAGAGTACTCTGATATCTGTGGTTTCGTACTCCTTCCATTATTTAAGATGCCATTTATCATACTGTATTTCAGAGATTATAACTTGGGAATTCAGAGTGTCTGGCTAGTATTTTTAAGACATAGACATGCAGTATGTTGTATAGAGTGTAAAAATGTATCAAGTTACTGTTCTAGTTATCTATAATGGTGCTACAAAAATATGTATACATGTACATTTGTATGTGTGTATGTATGTGTATACACACACATACAAAAATACATAAAAAAGCTGGCATTCTCTGCACTGCAGTAGTGGTAGGATATCTACATCATAATGTAGTCTGCTTCACAGAGCACTGGCCATGAAATTGGGATAGCTGAGTTATACCTGTAGCTTTGCCTCAGTTGTAGGGTTTTTTCACAAATAAATTTTACCAATTGTGTTTGTAAAGCACCCTGAAATAAAATGTATTATATTTTTTCCAAAGATTGTGCCCTTATTCTTCTGAAAGTCTTTTGTGCAAAGCCTTGTGAAGACTTCTATGTCTAGTATTTGACAGCAGGATACGTTAATGGTCTGCTTCGTGTAAGTATATCTATAGAAATTCTCCCTATTAACACATATGCATTCAAAATCATGGAATATAATATACACCATTAATTCATGATTCCTTTTTTATTACCATTATTTCCAAAGAATGAAAATAAAATTAGGACCTCTGCTATAGTAGTTACTACAAATACAAGCATAAGTGGATGTCTTTCTGCTCTGGCAAGCATAAGCCTGTGCTGTATTTTGCAAAGGGAGACAGTTGATCCATTTTCCTCTCTAAAGTAGGCAATGATATTCCAACACTATCAGTGTATCTAGCCGGATTTGCAAGAATCTGTGTGACAACTAGTGTTTGAAATGCCTTGGAATTTTGCAGTAATAGTTCCATTGTTTTCTTCTTATTTATATTTTCTGTGTATGGTTATTTGTAAAAGAGCATACATAATCACCTTACTTCTGCTTGCTAAGCTAGGAGTAATTATTTATTTAGTAAGATTGTCAATAAATTTGAGTGAAGAAATGGAAAGCCTTTAATTATAAGAGTGAAAATATGATATTTCTTGAGTTCTGCATGTCTAATGTGTTTATATGGAATATTTCTATCCAAGGTCTTTGAAGTTATTATACATTAATATTTGATCTCGCTTTAAGTGTACGCAGCACTAAACAAATTGCCTATACAGTCTAAGTGTAAGAAAATCTGCAAACAATTCTCTCCCACTTTTTGGTATAAATATATTATTCTTTTCTTAAGATGCACGTTATGCTGTTAAAATACATCTGTAGAAAACAAAACAAAACCCCCCAAACCCTTCAAAACAATAGAAAGCTCTAGATCAAGGTCAGTTAGTTGAATATGAGGGGGGGAAAAGGATGCTTTTTTATGTCTTCAGGCAAACAGCTTGAGTACAATCAAGTCTGACAAGAGTAGCATTTAAGATTAAGTGTCCAGTCCTTAGTTATAGAATTCTGCCCCTAAAAATGCAGTTTTTCCATTTGTCCTACCTGTATTCGCTGCTGAGCATGTCTCTTGACAGTAATACAATTTTACCTGTGTATATCTCAACATTTAGGGTTGCAATTGCTGCAATCCCTGCTTAGCCACTGCTGCCATCTCCTAACAGCCTGGCTGTGAGCAGGCTGTGCCCAAGTGGAGTGAGAGCCCCCACTCCCATGTCCTGAGATGGGAAATCCTTTACACTGAGCCCTTGAAGTGTTCGTAGCCTGAAACTGAGCTGTGGCAGCCTTTATAGGATATTTGCAGCAGAGCAGGACTAAAGCAGCAGTGTTGGTAAGCATGGAAGCTACCGAATTATTCAATCAAATCTGATCAGGATGGAGAAATTATGTAAAGAATGATAATATGATGTCTGGGTGATAGAGCACTATTATAGCTGCAGACAACCTGTACTGGAGCTACTAAACCACTTGCGGAGATGATCTCCCATGCAAGCATAGTAAAATCCTTGAGATGAAACCGAGACTTAGCAGTAGGCCTTTCTATTCCACTCCCCGCCCTCCAAAAAGGTAACTGAGGCTGAGCGGTAACAGAACTAAAAAATAATTCCTCAAGTTGCAAAACTTCATGAGTTTTCTTAAGCTCACTCAGCATCATCAAGCATAATTTACTCCCTTGATGCACCAGTGCCTTTCCCCCATTCCACCATGTATGTGTGCACATGAAAGGAAGATGGAAGACGTAGTAGCTGTTGGTACATGACTGAGGTGCCTGGTAGCCTGGGAAGGTTGGCTTTTTCTGGAAGAGAAAATGACAAGCTGACTGCACTTTTTATGACCTTTTCACTATTCTATCATAAGTATCCATGGTAACATGACTGTTTCTTTCATGCTGGTATGTAGCATCAAAATAACAATAAATGCTGATTTAAATTAATGTGGTTGAATAGAACTTGCTGCCAGGTGTGCTGAAAAAAAATACTAGAGATGGGACACAAGGAAGAAGAGTCAGAAATCTATTATTTTATTTCTTTTTAGTTATGTGCATCGCCTTTTCTTTTTCTTTTCTCTCCCCTCCTCACTTTTTTACTGAAGAATGTAACAAATGAATTATTAATTCTACTTGTATGCTGTGTGACTGTCTTATTAAGGGTCAATACTAATTTCAAAAAGGTTTCCATTCATTTCAAATAGTGAATTTCTATTTGCTTTCGTGGAATCCAAAATTACTCCTCAATAAATAGTTGAATACAATGACACATCAGCTTAAACTAAGGAAACTTTTATGCATGTGATGTATAACGTAGTTTCTGGATGCCTTTCGTATGGCCAGACAAGCACATAGATGACCAAAACTCCTTCTTGTAATGATGACACTTTGTTCACTTGTTGACAAGTTTGGGGTGGGTTGTGTTTGGTTTTTTTTTTTTGTATTACATAGGAAGATGATTCTTATTTAAATGTTATACTTTCATATGATTTGCCATGAGATGAGCTTCTGGCAAGGTAGGGAACACTTGGTTAAAGATGTTTCCAGAATTTAACACTGACTCATTTAAATCAAGATTAAGGTCGGGTGAAATACAAACATGGAAAGCAGGAAAAGCAGTCTTGATGGCTCTGAAGGTCTTATCAGTTGCTTCAGGTGATGAAGGGCTTTTAGAGATGACATCAATGTTTCAAAATACCATTTTGGTAGCTGTTTCTGCTCTTACCTTCAACTTGCTGTGGTACCAGGGTG